CAGCAACTACTTTGTAGCCAACGTTGGTGTTTACGCACAAGAAGAACAACGGCATGGCATATTTCGTGGTTTTGTACGTCGCGTCAAGTAGGACAAGATCGCTTCCATATTTCAGAAGAAGTTTTCGTTGCCACTCTTCTTGATGAACAAAAAGAAAATTATCGCTGTCGTTAGTGGGCACGCTGGCACCAAAATAGTTCGGTTCGCCCTCTTGGGTTCGCAGGAAGAATCTTGTACTTGGCGAAGACTTTTTTAAATCAGTTATCTTTCGAAGACGAGACTCTTGGTCATCGTTGCAGTATTTTCCAGCGGCAATAGCTTTTGAAATATGATTTCGTAAGTCCTTGGAACTCGGATAGTATCTGCGATTTGTTTTCCTTGGCCATGTGTGTTTCGGAGCACCAGAAAATAGCTCTTTTTCATTAAAATCAAATTTGATCAATTACATCGCGAATTGCATCATATCTGTTGTTACTGTTATAGCAAGACGTATTTTGAGAGTAAATTGTCAAACACCAAGCCCAAGGCGTTTCTCAGAAATCTGAAGTCTTCATGGTCCATGTCTTTGTCTGGTTGTCATTTTAGGACTTCGTAACTCGTAAGAGGCATACATGAAGTACCTCATCGTCTTAAATTCAACATGGCGTTTTTTAAGTTCTCTTCGCTGGTAAATGTAAAGGATTTCAAAAAGGAAATGACCTCAACACTTGATGTTGAGGATATTAGTCTTGAAGAAAATATTAGAGATCGATCAAACCTTTGGAGAATATAACCCAGGACACCTTACAAGAAGTTGAAGATGTTTGTAGGTAAATTGAAGTATTTATAACTTTTCGTTTTTTTTTACTTTGCCTTTATACTTGACCAAAAACTGCAGAGACAGGTTGTACGAAAGCTGTATAGCGTCATAGCGCTATCTATCGAATGAAGTTTCCAACCTTTAGATATTTTAAGAAAAACGTGGAACAAAAATTGTATGCGTAATTAAATAATCCATTTTTTATAAGCATAATATGTGAGATAATACAATGAATCAATGATTACAATCAACAACCCGGAAAGATTTTGAGGTTTTATAAGATAAATGTAACAGAATAAGTACGTATATATTATGAATTAAGTACGTATATAAAAGCATAGGTATAGTTGTGCTACAGTGCCTATAGCTTTCAAGCTTTTGTACAGAAATGATTTTATATAATAACTATAGTGAAACACGCAATGTGATTGGTCAATAGCCGTGCAGGATCAGACAATCCTGCACGCGTTTTAGACAATCCTGCACGCGAAATTTAATTTTAATAAAGTTAACCGTTGTTTCACTACAGTTATTTTATAAAACAATTACCAAATGATTTTCCGTGCAGGATTGCGTGATCCATGCACTTGGGATGTTGCTCGACTTTCGGAAAGCGTGAAAATGCACTCGCCTACGGCTCGTGTATTTTCACGCTTTCCGAAAGTCTCGCAACATCCCGCGTGCATGGATCACGCAATCCTGCACGGAAAATCATTTGGTATTCCTTTAATCCTGTGGACATACTGCATGTACTCTCCAGCCTTTGTACAATTATCTCTAATATAATAATATTGGTACAAATCTGATAAAATACCAGAATGTCATAATAAGTTATGTAGTGAAAAAATGTACTTAACCTTTCCTTAAATACAGGACCCTTGCTACCACCTTCCTATATTGTGCAAGCTAATTGACAAGTCGATTAATGATAATTACAAGAACACCATGCAGTATAATCATGCCAAGATTGCTCTAAACTTTTTGGGTTGTTCAAAATTTCCAGTGGGCTTATACACACTAACTCACCCATACTGAAAAGCATGCCTTGCAATGACCAGCCAGGTTCTGTTTCACTAGTACTGCACAATAGACCATGAGCTTACTAAATTAAATCCATAGATTTAATTCTTAATATTTCAATTGTCTTTTAAGGTAATTATACATTATAAATAGATTCAACTGATTCAAATCCAATTCTTTGTGTCACTTAATATTTAATTCAATTCATGGTTGTTAATGTGAGCACTTACATCATAATAAGATCATTCTAATTGTTAGATAAAGTGTTCTATCAGCCTTACACATTATAGAGTGTAACAAGAGGTTGAAGCCCTGCTAAAATTCAGGCAAATTCACAGGATGAAAACAATGGAAAAAGAATATAAGAATATAATATGTTTAATAAGGAAATACAGTAAGTCTTATGGTAAATTTTAATGGTAAAGTATCTGCCCTAAGGAATCATATAATTGCTCAAATCCTTGCTTCTCCCATGTCCTGTATAATAGTTGTTTATATAAGAATGTTGAGTCGAATTTAAGCAATTTCATTGGTTGAGAGCCATGATCTATAAGAGGACACATGCACAGAGTGACTAATCAGAAAGTTTTAATGAATTTGATCAGTGATCGCTTACAAGTTTATTTTGTTAGGCAATCACATTTTAGCGCTTATCTTAACACTTTAAAAATTTTCTAGGTATTGGGGAAAACAAAAACTGTTTACCTGTTAATTAGGGAACTTTTTCGGCTTGCCCCAGCAGCTACTATTTTGTGGCAACTATTTTGTTCTTATCACAAATGATATGCCATACTATGTATCTATAACTGAAGCAACAATGGTTCAACATTATTTATTCGTTAAATAATATATACATAGTCACAGTATGATCTAATACAGCATTTGTTTATAAAACCCTGACTAAATTTGCATAAGAAATTCGCAAAAGAAATTCTTCCGGAAGAACCAAATATATGAATAAACATACTCCTCCCCCCCCCAATTCTCATTCTTAATTTAGTCATCCCTGCTGAAGGCCTATCAAGACTTGATCAAGAGTATCTCTTTTAGCGTAATTGTGTTAATAATGTATTTGAGAACGTAATTTAAGCGTAATTGTGCATGTTTAATAATGTATTTGAAAACCTGATCTCATTTAGCACTTTTCCTGTATTTCACAGCGTGTTACCTGAATCCAGAAATTCTCGCTGAGCATCATTCAAACAAAAGAATTATATCATCCTTTCAGAACAGCTGGTAGGTATATAAACATTCTTAGATTTGGGTTTAAACTTACTAGTCTTAAAGCTAACGTCTATCAATCTTAAAACTTCTTCAGCGAATAGCGACTTTCAATAATTTCAATTTCATAAACAGTCTAGAAATTCGGGACGAGTAGGTATTCCATTCAAAACCTAGAACAACTTATTTAGCTTGCTCTGTTTGTTCTAGCAAAAGGCGAAAGCAGCTGTCACCGGTCATAAAATAGATAGACAAGAAGTTGTCCTTTCTGGAGCACTATATCATCCCATGAAGGTAATTAATCAATACTATTTCAAGAATTATAAAGTATTTCATATTTATATGTATGCATAATTTTTTCTCTGTCTTAATATTGTTTCGAAAAATTCAAGAATTTTTGGTACTTGGAAGAGAGGTAGGACATAGCTATTGCTAAAACGTAATTAGCATTGTTTTCATGCATATATGCGTACAGTACATGTGGAATGTTACACGATATTTTTGCAGTTTTGGCATGCAGTTTTGTTCCTCACTCAAGGTAACTAAAATCTTTTGATTTAAGGTCCGTTCACACTATCCATTATGTCGGATCCAATTCACTTCTTACGTATGGAATGTGGTTTGTTATCGATAAAACAGTACTGCATGCATTGGTTTTAGTTGATTTGCTGCCTTTATATATATATATATATATATATATATATATATATATATAATATATATATATAAATATATATATATAAAGATAAAATAAAATAAACTTGGTTTACTTCATAAGATTTTATTCACTACAAACTTGTTTCGTATGACAAGCAACGCTTGCCACACTCATCAGGTGAATTTAAATGTCGCGCGACATTTAAATTCACCTGATGAGTGTGGCAAGCGTTGCTTGTCATACGAAACAAGTTTGTAGTGAATAAAATCTTATGAAGTAAACCAAGTTTATTTTATTTTATCTTTATACTAGCTCTATACTTTGGTATATCGAGCACTCTACTCATATATGATTCTAAATACATATTTGATATATATATATATATATATATATATATATATATATATATATATATATATATATACACATATATATATATACATTGCAAGTCAACTGACTATAAAACATCCATCAGAAGTGAATCGGATCCGACAAAATTTGAATTGTGTGAACAGATCTTCAAGGACAAAGTTGAGTTGAAAATTCTTGATACTCCTTGCATTGTAGCTACCTACATACGTGGTAGCAACCACATAGCAAATCATCAAATTCTTTTCAGAGATTCATGATTTTCTGTCTCATTGATCACGAAAATATATTTAGCTACATAGCAGAAATAAAATGCTAAAACGATTTAAGAACCTTTTTACCATCTTCTTGCTTCCAAACTTGCAACAATTTGCATAGTCGACAAGATTGGCTTGCCAATTGCAAGCAATAAAGCAGTAGTTTTCCTCAGATAAATTCCCATCCGTGACTTAGGGACCGGACAAATTCGCAAACGTGTTCTAATTCGTTCGGTTCAGGTGTTCACACGGTGGAAACGAATGAATATTTTACCGGTTTTACGTGTTCACGCGAGGTAACCAGACGAATTTGAGCACGGTCCTAAATTCGCCCCGTCCTGTGCGAACGTAGCCTTAGCCCCAGTTTTGAGTACTGCTTCATGCAATAGTACCTCAGTCAAATAGTAGAGAGATATGAAAGAAGGCGAAACGTTTATCAATGCGTCATAAAATCTGTTCATAATCAAGAATTTTAATTAATATAAGTAACATGCACACAGCTCGCTTGGTCGTACGTGTGCCTAATTCTTATTTAATTGAACAAAAACAGCAGTGACGTTTGCATAGAACCCATGTACTCTATATTAGTTGATGTGCGCTGTTTTTGCACGTGCCACGTTTAAGATACATATAGTGCCAGGCCAATGCGGGACATGTTTTTCCGTTTTAGACATGAACTGATTTACGTGACAAAATATCTTGTCCCGCGGATTCTATTGTCGTCGGGGAGCACAGCGAGAATCCCGATTTTCCAAGAATCGCTACAGGCAAGGTATAGTGCTCACTCTCCTGCAAGAAGAAAAATACTGTTATGTTAGGCGACTGGTTTGTTAAATTGCGAAAACGAAGACTGGTTCCTAAATGTTGGGTTGCCATAAAATTATTTACCTTTCATTAGGTACTTTAATTTAATCCGTTGGAAGGCTTAATGCAATGCCCAATAAGAATTGCTCAATAATATATAAAGGCAAACTTGATGTGTCTGTGAAATTACCGTTCCAGAAAGTAAGTTTTTCAATAATTTTCAATAATGCACTATCATTTGTAGGATATTTGCCCGTCTGCTTTTATATTCATTGAGAGTGTTTTCTACAATGACACAAGAAGCGATTTATGTCGAAATTATAGCAAGTAAGTTTTTTAATTTTGTATCAAAGTCCACTGTTATAGGCTATACATGGTGTATAAAAAAAAAGTAGACAATTGTTAAAATGTCCATAAACTGAAAATTTCGCAAAAAGTCTGAAGAACGTGTGTTGATATAGGTATTTTAGGGTCTCTTGACCACTTTAACACTCAAATAAATAAAAAAAAATTATATCGACGTGTAGGAATGATTATTTTCAAACACCATGCGTTTCACGCGGTAATAATTCATGCATTATTGATATTTTACATTAATCATGCGTGAAATCATTTGTGAGCTGCAAAAAGTATGTGAGAAAGGCCAAAAATAGCAAAAAAGTCCAAGTTCGAGAGGCCGCCCGGTGGATTTAATGTACACCAAATTGTCTGGAACTTTGATAGTTTATAAAATTACCCAAACTTTCAACCTATGATAATGAATTAAGATTTGAACAGTCCGTTTTTGTGCGCGAGGGTTGTTTTAGGTGGTGTTTGAAAATAATCATTCCTACACGTCGATATAATTTTTTTTATTTATTTCAGTGTTAAAGTGGTCAAGAGACCCTAAAATACCTATATCAACACACGTTCTTCAGACATTTTGCGAAATTTTCAGTTTATGGACATTTTAACAATTGTCTACTTTTTTTTCACACACCCTGTAGTATATTTAAACCAACGTCAAAACATGCGCTCTATCTCGTCAGAATCATGAACTTGATTTAAATTTGCATTCTTCAAGCATGCATGAAGTATCGTAGAATATCACTCGTTTTATAATTAAGTAAGGTGTAAGAGGAAAGAATGCATGCAAAGAGATGGTTATTGATTTTGGTGATAATAAAGCTGTTACATGTATCTGGGACAAAGTGATTCTTGGGTTTGGATAGACGACGATTTGAAGTGAAAATCTGATATCTGACTATATGCAAGGTTATAAGAAGGCGATGAAACGCCAAAAAAGATACGGATCAACCCATTGGCATTGCATGGTGTTTCATTTTTATGTCGCGTAATATGTGTTCAAAACCTTATATCATCTCCCAACATGCAGTACTCTAACGATTTTAACATTTTAAAATGTTTTGCGAAGCTGGAAAGCTGGGGGTGGTTGTTCGAAAGGCGTTTAGCTTAAACGGTGGATAAGTTAAAAATCGAAAACAAAATTATGTATTTATTGAACAACGTAGCCGAAATATTTCGATGTAAATAGTTTAATTGTCAATGGAAGTACATATTAAATGCATAAGATGCAGGTTCAGTCATTCACAATATCTATGAGAGTATTTTTAAACTTTGGCTTATCCACCGTTTAAGCTAAACGCCTTTCGAACAACAGGCCCCAGAAAATTAGCTATGTTCACAAAGTACTACATAATCTGAAAACAAAAATGTTAAAAGAGATTTCTCGGTGTATACGCAAAGAAAAAAGGTCACTTTTATAGTATTCTTCTTTATTCATAGTATTCATTTCAGTCGCAATGGCGTTGACATTCGTGCCAATAATTCTCCATTATATTTTTAAGAAAAAACTCTTGTTGCTTGGTGTTAATACTAAATACTGTTTAAGATTTACGGCTGTTTTCCACTATCGCGTTTTTTGTGCGTATGTCTATACGAATCTAAAAGCCTAAAATCCTTTAAATGACACTTATGAAAAATTCATCGGGTTGAATTCTGTTGATGATTTGATGCGTGTTTTTTTTCTGGCATGAAATTAATCATACAACAACTTAGAAGGTTTTAAGCGTGCGTGTACGTACGTGCAAAAAACACGACAGTGAAAAACAGCCCTTAGACTATATAATGTAAAGAATGGAGCTGAAGGACTTTGACACAGGGGCGTAACTATAGATCGATATTTGGTGAGGGGTGATTATTCATGTACATTTCGTTCTGCGCGACGGATGTCTTTTCTAAGTGCAATGCACAAAAGAAACCCGGCCGTCGCGAGTAGAACTGAAAAAATTAATAACACCCCCCCAGTTATCGTTCTAGTTACGCCCTTGGTGGTACACCGAAAAGGTTTGATGTTTTGGACGTTTTCCGCTAAAATACGTGAACTTAAATGTTGCTTTTTCACTTCTTTTCAGACTTTATATGGATTGGAATAACAAAAAGCACAATGGCGAGCTACCTCGATACCGTGTTTGTTCAAGCAAGAAAATGGAAGAGACAAAGTTTGAGGATTTAACAATTAAACTTGGCTATCCCTATGTTTTTGTGCACCAGGGTGACTGGGAGCATTTGCTATTGTTTCGTAATTTAAGGTAAATATTCCAGGCAAATATTAGTTGCCAACTATTAATCGTGAGTGTCGTAAACATGTCATGGTGGCTGATATGAAAGAATATTTCTATGTGTGTGCAGTCAACAATGACCGATTGAATACAGAAACAAAGAAAAATTTACATCCTGACTATTTCTCATCGGTGAAAATGATTTGTTCACGACTATTACGACTAAATGAATACCAGGATTAAGTTGGCACGCTACTATTAGTACGTTTTGCAACGTATGCTGATCTTCTAAATTTAGCCTTTTGACCTGTAGTTCTTGACTGTGATAACTGTGTGTGACAGGTATGTCAAAATACACCTTACATATATATATATATATATATATATATATATATATATATATATATATATATATATATATATATATATATATATATATATATATATATATATATATATATATACAGTCACTGCTGAAAAGGTTGTCCATCGTATATACCATTATATGTATAACGTGACTAATTGGTATGCATCAACACGCGTGTGTTTTGTCGGGTAGTTTGCGTGTTTACTCTGGTCCATTATAAAGTGCGCTCGTAACTGCAATAATACGGCAATCACTGCAATAGCTAAGTATCTGCCTCCTAATAATGATTTTCAATGCATGATAACAACAATGGTTGATGGCATTAAATTGGGTTGTGGGTACTGGTACTGGTTGTTTAAGTTCGTGCAAAGTTTGCAGTTCAGTAATAGGGCATCTTCGTTCATGTACTGCACTATCGTCTTAGCTGGCTGCATTATGTTATTCGTCGTCTGCCGATTGATTTGAATTGCTCTTGTGAAACAGATCGCCGTGTGACACAGTCACACATTGATATTATGTGTATGTTTTGTATAATACCTTGATTATAATCGCATATACCAAGTATAGAACACGGGGCTTCCTGCGTTTATATGCGGCAAGTGCTAGAGATAGTCGAACGTGTTCACATTTCAAATAATCGTTAACGAGTTGTAGAATCATTTTTCACCTTGGCGAATAGAATCGATATCAGCGCTTCCCGCTCTACAACTGTACCGTATATATATGGCAAAGCTTACATAGCTTAGCACGACCTGATTTGGCACGGTAAAGTACGGCTGAAATTGAAGCTCCCGTTCTAACGCTATTTGCGATCATGCGTTGTGTTACGATAGTAATTCATTAGTCTAATAGATTTATAATCGAATCGGTATAGTCTCAGGGGACTATCATAAATGTGTGGATAACATTACAGTCATTTTAAATCCTCTTTGAAATCCATCCTTGTTCATTACATTGGTCAAACTCGAAGTAATTTCGTGTGAGAATCATTGTTAGATACGAGCCCGTATACAGAACTAACTTGAACATCTCCAATCTTTCCGCTAGTTTATACTATATACTGTCTCAGTACTAGTTTGAAATGCCAGCACCATATGCTAACGATTTACGATGGAGAATGGTGTACCAGCGCCTCTTCTACCAACGCAGTTATGATGAGATCGCTCTGCAGTTATTTGTCTCGCCCAAAACTGTTTACCGTACATACAAGATTTTTCTGAATACCGGTGACGTAAAACCTTGCAGCATGGGAAGACCAAAGGGAAGTATAACATTGAGTCCCGACGAGGAGTACATTATCATGGAATTCGTCCTTCAATGGCCCCAAATGCAGTTAATTGAGCTTGCAAATGCTATCTGGAATGCGACTGGATCTTCGTTCAGTGATGAAACTTTGTGTCAGGCTGTCCGCAGACTAGGAATAACGCGCAAGGTGTTGATTAAACAAGTTTTGTAAGCTTTCAGTAGAAACATTTCCTCTATACTTCATTAAATTTTCAGATCCAACGAATTGCACTGGAACGCAACGAAAACTTGCGTTTGCAATTTCGAGCTGAAATTAGCGCTTTTGATCCTCGCCATTTGGTTTTCCTTGACGAAACAGGCATTGTAAGTGTCAGCATAAATTTACTGTGAAAGTTAATAAACGAATAATTTATAAGTTGATATTATTATTTAATTGATACAGGATAAGCGGATTTCTCGACAATACGGTTACAGTGTTCGTGGTACTAGACCAATAGTTGGCGATTACAGCTACTCACGATGGCACCCTCACTATTCAATTATATCAGTGATTTCGTTGGAAGGATTGGTGGCAAACTATGTCTTAACTCCAGCCCAAAGGTTTACCCATATTACCTTTATGGCGTTCTTGGATAACTGCCTTCTTCCAATAATGAATGCCTATAATGGTATCAACACTAGATCTGTCATTGTTATGGGTAAGCCTCCCATGCTTCTTCGTTGTTTTAAAGTGTATTTAAATATTTTTTTTTTGATATTATTTGCTAAATTTATAAAGCAACATTCAGTCCTGAATCCCTTATTTCAGATAACCATCCTGTGCATCATGTCAGAGGCGTTGTAGACCGCATTCGCAATGCAGGCGTCCTGGTGCGCTTTTTGCCACCGTACAGTCCAGACCTTAACCCCATTGAAGAGGCTTATGCACAAGTGAAGAATTACTTGCGTAGAAATGATGCAGTCCTCCACACGGCGGCAAACCCATTGCCACTAATTTGGGATGCTTTCTCCCAGGTAACTCCTCATGACTGCCAGGGCTACATACAACACGCAGGATACATTTAATTTGTTATCAGAAATTGTATGTTTATTAAAAGAGAACAATTAAGGTGTTATACAATACATGTTATTAACATTTGTGCATTGTTATTATTTCTCGCAAATACGTAAAATTTCACAATATATAAATAATAAAATATTTGCATTAAAATATTGTATTTCTTACATAAATAATAAATCTTTGCATTACAGAAATCATGTGCTTTTACTTATATAAACGTTTTATTTAACAATATTTAAACATACTTCAAAATTCAAATTAACGATAATTAAACATTGGCAAACAAGTGTAGCTTGGTTAAGTATTTCTTACACATGTATGTCTTGCAACAATAGTGCCTTTTTGGCTTCATATTCATCTTCTGTGATGGCACCCAACTGTTTTAGATCAAAAAATTCCCTAATTTGCTTTATAACTTCTGAACGGACTGCCACTTTTGACATTTTGTCGGTGTTTCCTTCTTCGTTCTATGAAATATTAATACGTTCTTCACATTTATTTTTGAACATGTACCTAAATTTCAAGATACTCGTGCGATTTTTCAGAATATGATTTGGCAGTTGGCACCAATTAAGGAATTGCTCGACCTAAACTGAGACACTTGCCGGTTAGAGCTTTTCGCAAAGATATACCAATGACGCTGGCAAGTTTTCTTGTCAAGGGTCCCCAAAAATATTTAAAGGGGGACATTGAAAAAAGTAAAATTGCATTGTCCCAGTTAAATCATTTCAAGAGGTCACACCAATATGTACGCCTCTTAGTTACTGCGTTTATAAAAGTAACTACTGCATTATAATATAGCAACCGACTGATAAAAGCATGTTAACATCAAGATATCGTACATTTCTGTTCACGGTAGTTTTGCTTTTCCCCTCTACTGCAGCGGACAATGCATGGGCAACCGTCTCGCCAACGGTGGTAAGCTTATCACACCAATTTTCTCTTCTTGGCCTTTTCGCTGGTGTTGCACTAAACATTGGAGCATCGGGTAATTTGTCGCGACTTGCTGTGCCTACCAACTGCGGAGCAACATACACACATTTAAAACTAGGACCTTGCAATCTGTAACTGTCTGCGATCCAATACTGACATTGGAACTATAAGTACAGATAATTATGGTATATTTTAGCTCAAAACACAAACAAAAATATACTTACAATCATTTCTGCCCATAACCTATACTTGTAAGGAGGCAAATCGGTGCCATGTATTTTCTGGATTTCGCTTATTTCTCTCGTTATTTTTTCTTCGTGGCTTGCTTGAGGCACCTGGCAACCTGCAACTACAACATGCGTATTGTTAATTGATGGCCAGTACAAATCCAAATTTCATGTTATAATTTGTTATAAAGGCACGCACAAACGGAACCAGTTGCCATCTGAGAACAACAACAACGCAACGTTTTACTAACCTTCTCTTTGAGGATTGGATTTAGCCTGCGAAGATTTTTTGCTCGGCTGCTGTGGTGTTGGGTCGAGCCACATCTGGTACCCAGCAATGAAATATTCATTTGCCTTCTGTAGTTCACTATCGGTAGCGATCGTAAATTTCTTGTTTCTCTCAAGTATGTATCCGAATTGCGATTTGTCCACGTGCGGAACATCCGGCATATTATTTATCAGCGCCTCTCTTAACTCGCTAATTGTATTATTCACAGGGAATTCTGTGATACGTCGAAGACGAAAACTGGTTTTCTTGTTAATGTCCAATACACGAACTTCGAGAACAGGAATCACTGATTCTGACTCAACGTTTGAATCCATCATGAAAACAACTCAGTACTTTCCGTATCATGCACAAACGTCTCATGCAGCGGCGTAACCTGTATTTCCAAGTCTCGTGGGACATTACCGCCTTGATGACATTACAGCTTGTTTACTTGACAAAAGGGATGATCGGTGATCCTTCGCAAAAATTTACATAATATAGGCGGATTTCCACTTACAGCGAAATCTTTCGCTAGCGGAATATTTGCATATTTTCTTTTGAATTGAGAACAGTGGAGTCGCCCTAATTTATTTATGCTGTTAAAATTCAAAAGAAAATATGTAAATATTTCGCTAGCGAACGATTTCACTGTAAGTGGAAATCCGCCTTAAGGCGTATAACCGGAGCTTCAATTTCAGTCGTACTTTACCGTGCCAAGTCAGGTCGTATTAAGCTATGTAAGCTTTGCCATATATATACGGTACGGTTGTAGAGCGGTAAGCGCCGGCTGATTTTATTCGCCAAAGTGCAAAATGATTCTACAACTGCTTAACGATTATTTGAAATGTGAACACGTTGGACTATCCCTAGCACTTGCCGCATATAAACGCAGGAAGCCCCGTGTTCTATACTTGGTATATGCGATTATAATCAAGGTATTTTACAAAACATGCACATAATATCAATGTGTGACGGTGTCACACAGCAATCTGTTTCACAAGAGCAATTCAAATCAATCGGCAGACGACGAATAACATAATGCAGCCAGCTAAGACGATAGTGCAGCACATGAACGAAGATGCCCTATTACTGAACTGCAAACTTTGCACGAACTTAAACAACTAGTACCAGTACCCATAAACCAATTTAATGCCATCAACCATTGTTGTTATCATGCATTGAAAATCATTATTAGGAGGCAGATACTTGGCTATTGCAGTGATTGCCGTATTATTGCAGTTACGAGCGCACTTTATTATGGACCAGAGTAAACACGCAAACTACCCGACAAAACACACGCGTGTTGATGCATACCAATTAGTCACGTGATACATATAATGGTATATACGATGGACAACCTTTTCAGCAGTGACTGTATATATATATATATATATATATATATATATATATATATATATATATAATATATATATATATAATATATATATATATATATATATATATATATATATATATAAATTTAGAAGATCAGCATACGTTGCAAAACGTACTAATAGTAGCGTGCCAACTTAATCCTGGTATTCATTTAGTCGTAATAGTCGTGAACAAATCATTTTCACCGATGAGAAATAGTCAGGATGTAAATTTTTCTTTGTTTCTGTATTCAATCGGTATATATATATATATATATATATATATATATATATAATATATATATATAATATATTATATATATATATATATATATATATATATATATATATATATATATATATATATATATATATACACCCATTTGCAAAAACGTTGGCCGCAGATAGATAGATAGATACTCGAAGTCTAATTAGAATTGCATATGATTACATTTGCATGGGATTTCAATCATATTACACAACATATGCAATTCTAATTAGATTTCGAGTATCTATCTATCTATCTATATGCGGCCAACGTTTTTGCAAATGGGTGTATATATATATAATAGATATGATAGAATCCTAATCAAGGAAAAGTATCAAGGACATGGAATTTCATCTGGAAAAAGATGATCGCGCGTCTAACTACATGGTAATCACCCTAAGCACATGCACATCTTCTATGTGCCAGAAATCTTTTAGAAGCAAACTCGTTCTGGTGATCTCGTTCTCATGGCTTTCCACTTCAAATTTCAGATCTAAAACTTATGGAACATTTTTAGGACCGTTTCAACCGGAAAAGGGCCAGGCAGAGACCCAGCAGCCACGATGACTTGAGACAAGTGGTCAACCAATGCTGGCAAGGTATTGAACGTGAGACACTAAAAAACCTATGAAATCTATTCCAGCATAAATAAAGGCCGTTTCATGAGCAAAAAAGAGGGATAAAAGGCATTCACATGTAATGCATGTTTGCACATTAACATACGTTACATGAATATCATAACATCTCATAGTTGTTGTGCAGCATGTTGTGCAGCATGTATTTTTTAGTTTACTCATTTACTTTTTTCTAGTTCACTTATCCGTAAGGTTTTCTGTAGAAAATTAATGTATGCTGCTAAAACAATGAAATACAGTCACTGGACTCAAACTTTTGCCTCTTACTGTATATATAATTATTGTGTTTTTTCACAATTTTCCATTTCATCTCCATGTAGAAAATGCCTTCACCCAAAAGGCACTGGTATATATTAGTTTTGAAATTTACTCGGTTCGAGAGTATTGTGCCTTTTAGTGTTTATGGAAGCATGGATAGTTAAAAGACTAATGGATGCATGGATAGTTTATTATCCGTGATGGAAGTATGGGACGCGCAGAGTGGAGTTTTTCTTTGCTTTTCGGAGAGCGCACAGGTAACAAATATTTTCATCCCGTGCACAAAACTAAGTGGCAAAACTCTGCCTATTCACCCTATATTTGAAAACAACCGGCCTAAGTCACAAGGTTGGAAACAAACCTCGTTAAATATGGAATTGACTTGATACGTTACGTCATCATTTTCATATCGTTTTCAAATTTATCCGGCAAATCCACCCGTTCCACACGTTATCAGCAATATTGTATTGTAATTATCAAAACATTGTCAGCAATAGTATATTGCATTGTTAAGTCCTGATAACGAGTGGAGGACTGGAACTAGGCAGAAGAACCAAATTTGCCATTAATTTTATAATTTTGGGATTCTCTGGAGATTTTATGCTAGCACAGAGTTTACTATATTAGTCAGTATTACCTATATTGTTTTCAGTTTTGCTATTACGTGCAAAGAATCGTCTTATTTAGGAGAGAAGGTACAATTTAATGCATTAAAATTGTGAATTTAAAAGTGTAATTTGGTGAAAATTTATGATCTTTCATATCATGAATTATGTATTATTTTAGTGTAAAATCATTGAAACTTTAAAAATAGGGTTGATGGGAACCCAAAGCAGTGGCCTATCCCATCAATTCTGTACGAAATTTGGAAATACGTACTGCAGTACTGCTGTGTACTCTATTATATATTATATGTTATACTATAATGAGTATAATCTATTATTATTCAGTATGGTATGTATGTGTAAACATACTTCTTTGTTTTTATTAAAGCCAAATTGGCTTTCCTAATAAACTATATATTGTAAATCAAGTACTCTAGCTTCAACTGATGAATTTAAACTACATATGACAGGAAATTACAAGTTTGATGGATGGTTGTAAATATATTTTCTTGTCACTAATATTCTGTGAAACATAACAGCACTGTGTGATAAGCTGCAAATTCTATGTTCGTGAATGTGCACTTTATTAAGTTGTAAAAGTAGGTTATTTACCATTTTACAACTAGTCTTGAACAATAATGTTATTTTAATGCAAAATATACATCCTCATCTATCAATTGTCACCCTGCCTGCCCCATCACTGTTTTGTGAGATATTCTTCAGCTGCTATATACAATAATGTGTCTCATTATGTTACATATGTTATACAGTATGTTAGGCAAATGCTGTATTACAGTACTGCAGATACCGGTACTGTGGCCAAATTTAATCAAATTGGCCGTTTATTTATTATTCAGAATGAATTGTCTTGTAACTTTGTTTTAGTGATATTTAAAAATTGCCATTAAAAAACATGGTTACAGCCTTATAGAGCTTGCACTTTGTGTTCTTCCACTGTTTAATTACTGTGATTTCAAGGATTAATCATGCATTGATTTTTTATCAAATAAGACTTTTATAGTGAACTAGAATTTTAGTCCCTAGCTACATACCAATTTAATCCAACCAGCCTATCCACTATTCATCTTTAGTAACTGATTTTCTATATTTTATTGGCTGCTGTATAGTATATTTGAAGCACAGCAATCATGTCAAGAACAAATTTAACTGCAAGCCAGAAAACAATATTACAGAAACTGTGGGATGAAGGAATGATAACAGGGAAGAGAAAAGACTTGATAGGAAAGGCAGTTGAAAAAACTGGCCTTGATGAAACAACAATAATGGTAAGTAGTGTTCACCACCCCCCTGCACCCCCCAGTAAATCCATTTCTGCTATTGATTGTTTTTATCCTTCTCTTTTTAAAGAACTGGATTGGAAATAATAAACGAAAGATGGGGATGGCAGTCAAAAGGGGATCGAGGAAAAATGAAAATAAAATTCATTCATCAGGCTACGTTCGGAAACGATCAGCATACTCGGCATTTAAAAAGGAGTTCCTTGCTAGCAATAAAGGTATGTGTATGTAAAATTAATTAAATGTTGATGTTGTTTAAAGTGAACTAGTGCATAAACCTATGGTTATGAAGCTGATTAAGATTAAACAAGGAATGTTGCTAAAAATACAACTGGGGTATGTTTCTATTTTTCACAACATTCTCTGGTCTTGATAATTGTATTTTTATGCCTTGGTTCTCCTTAAATACTATCAACATTAAATTTATGTTCAAATACAACGAAGAAAGTCCAGAAACCTAATTCTATATATATGAAATATTGTTTTACAATAAAAATGCTGGACCTAGAAATAAATGACAGGCAAGTGAATACCGAAAAGTTCTTACCATATAGTTATTACAAGATGTGTCATTAATCTTATTGACTATTGTACAAATAATAAGGTGAATTATAGTAGTGTAGGTCTATCAAATTAAGCAATTGATCAGTATTGGCTGTTGTAAAAAAGAGTGCCAGATACGGCAGGGTTAGGAAAAATAAATTATTGTCGCTAAAAATCACAATTGCATTTGTATATTTTTATCTTCGGAAATTCATAACCAATTGCATTGTCATTAAGGTATTTTGAATTTAAAATTAAGCTGTAAGTAATTTATTAGGATCCACCACTGAGTATAAATACCAAATCATTTATTTGTTCATTCATTCATACAATTTTATGCAAAAGACCCATGTAATTAATGCGTTTATATTACCTGTCTATGTGAATGGCCTGTATAATTCGGAAAGAACACTACTCTGGGGACTTTCTAACATTTTCACTCTCCCTGAATGTAATTTACTGTAACTGTACTGTATCATTGTAATTTGTCTTCTATTGTAGCCAAAAAAATGAGAGAGGATGGAGTGGCTGAAAGTGAAATTCAAAAACAAGGCAGCTTAGAATATCGTCAGTTATCTCCAAACAGTATGGCTGCGGCCAGGCTGCGGCCAGGCTGCGGCCGACAGGAGAATGTAAGTTGGTGATGTCGTTAGAAATGAGCGGACGTTTTATTTCTAGGCAAGCATTGCGGGCACCGCATTTTAGTACTGTGTCTGGTTATTTTCATTTTTCCTAATGTACCCCCTTTTTGAAGGATGGAATAAAAAGCTTGCTAAAGCATCTTTTGCTAATTCGTCCCCAGGCCCAGGGCCATTATACTCGGTCGCTCCTCATTTGCTCCGTTGTTTTGTTTTTACACGTATTTTGTATGTAGACTTTTGGAAATTTTTTGTCCTCTATTAAACGGTTATTCACTGTTCCTTGTTCAGTCTTGAAGTTGAAGGTAAGTTAAATATTTTTCAATAGACGTTAATATGTATTTATGAAAGAATAAAAAGCAATATTAATATGTATATATAGCGATTATTTGACGGTAGCGTATAAGGCGCACGCAAACTATATATGTAATTATATGGCAATGCAACGCGATTTTTGCAAGTTTTTCAGTTCCAAAAGCAAATAAAATTTATCCTGTTGTGATATTCTTTAGGATTACTTAACGATAGTACATTTTAACTTTCAGGATAGAGTTTTAAATATCTGCTTAAAAAAAACTAAAATTTGCGTCGCCGCATCGTATCCGGTGTAGTCCGCTATGCTAATATTTCGGCATTTGACTGTAAAAACAAAACAATTCTGAAGAAACGAATAATTATAGCAGCTTCAAATTTGTATAGCTCGACGAAATCGTTAGGCTGACTACTGAATAGATATAAATGTATGATATTTACTCCTTATTAAAATTTGAATCAATGAAATATATAGCGTGAAATTTAAAACAAGGAAATTTAAAATAAGTGTAGAATCACTAGAATGTTTGTGTTTGTGTCTTAAGTATATATCCAAGCAATAGTTTACCAAAGCAGGTAAATACAAATACTAAGTGTTTACATTGAAATATCCTTTTTTAACTTAGGCTTGTTTAACATGTTTGTCAGAAAAGGTTGTATGTTAGAGACCTAAAGCTCTCTGAAATTATACTCCATATTAATTAGTTATTTTGTTTTTTTTGTTGGATGCATGGATATCCTAACAGCATTGCTATATTTGCATTGTTCAACACAATTTGCCAGTAGATGCTGTTTAATTCATTAGTACTTAAGGTATCGGATATAAGAATTGTCTGAATTGATATATACTATGTGAGTGATACATAATATGTAAGTGCTTTTAAAGCAGTGTCCTTGGTTGACTTCAGCTTGTTCCATGTCAGAGACCTAAAGCTTTCAAAAAGTAATCCAGCATTAACATTAGCCAAACTTTGTTGGGGGCATGGATATATCCAACAAAATTGATATATTTCCATTGTTGAACTATCTATCAGTAAGTGCTGTTTACTTCATTAGGATTTAAGCTATCAGATATAAGAATTGATATTTGATGCACATACTATGTAAGTGTTCAGTAAGTGTGTGCAGTATCCTTTGTTAACCAAGACTAGTTCTATAAGTTTGTGAGAAAATGTCTTATGTGAGAGACATAAAGCTCTCTCAAAGTACCCTAGCATTATTTAAGTAAAATTCAGTATAGTGTGCAAGAGAATACGTATTTGCATTATATCTATTGACAAGCTTTGTTGAATGCATGGATATCCCAGCAGAATTGCTATAATTGCATTGTTCAACTATCTGCTAGTACACTGTGCACAGGTGCTGTTTAATTCATTAGTATTTTTAGGGTATAAGATATATAAGTTGATATATACTGTACTATGTGAGTGATACATATTTTGAAGTGTCTTTCTTAGCGGTATTCTTTGTTAACTAAGGCTTGTCTTATATGTTTGAGAAAATGTCATATGTGAGAGTCTTAAAGCTCTTGCAAAGTACTCCAGGTATTATTTGCATTGTTCAACAATCTATGAGTAGGTGCTTATTAATTCATTAGTATATAAGCTATCAGATATAAGAATAGAAGTTTGATGCACATACTAGCTACATATGGAAGGGTTTTTAAACAGTATCTTTTGCTTACTTAGCCTTGTTTCATAAAAAAGGTAGTATGTTAAGGGACCCAGAGCTAATTTCTTATGTACTCCAGCCTTATTTAAGTAAAATACAGTATGATGTCAAGGAGACTGCTTGTTTGCAGTAGTTTATTGACAAGCTTTGTTGAATGCATGGATATCCCAGCAGAATTGCTATAATTGCATTGTTCAACTATTTGCTAGTACACTGTGCACAGGTGCTGTTTAATTCATTAGTATTTTTAGGGTATCAGATATATAAGTTGATATATACTGTACTATGTGAGTGATACATATTTTTAAGTGTCTTTCTTAGCGGTATTCTTTGTTAACTAAGGCTTGTCTTATATGTTTGAGAAAATGTCATATTTGAGAGTCTTAAAGCTCTTGCAAAAACTCCAGGTATTATTTGCATTGTTCAACAATCTATGAGTAGGTGCTTATTAATTCATTAGTATATAAGCTATCAGATATAAGAATAGAAGTTTGATGCACATACTAGCCACATATGGAAGGTTTTTTAAACAGTATCTTTTGCTTACTTAGCCTTGTTTCATAAAAAAGGTAGTATGATAAGGGACCCAGAGCTAATTTCTCATGTACTCCAGCCTTATTTAAGTAAAATACAGTATGATGTCAAGGAGACTGCTTGTTTGCAGTAGTTTATTGACAAGCTTTGTTGAATGTATGGATATCCCAGCAGAATTGCTATAATTGCATTGTTGAACTATCTGCTAGTACACTGTGCACAGGTGCTGTTTAATTCATTAGTATTTTTAGGGTATCAGATATATAAGTTGATATATACTGTACTATGTGAGTGATACATATTTTTAAGTGTCTTTCTTAGCGGTATCCTTTGTTAACTAAGGCTTGTCTTATATGTTTGAGAAAATGTCATATGTGAGAGTCTTAAAGCTCTTGCAAAGTACTCCAGCTTTTATTTGCATTGTTTAACAATCTATGAGTAGGTGCTTATTAATTCATTAGTATATAAGCTATCAGATATAAGAATAGAAGTTTGATGCACATACTAGCCACATATGGAAGGGTTTTTAAACAGTATCTTTTGCTTACTTATTCTTGTTTCATAAAAAAGGTAGTATGTTAAGAGACCCAGAGCTAATTTCTCATGTACTCCAGCCTTATTTAAGTAAAATACAGTATGATGTCAAGGAGACTGCTTGTTTGCAGTAGTTTATTGACAAGCTTTGTTGAATGCATGGATATCCCAGCAGAATTGCTATAATTGCATTGTTCAACTATCTGCTAGTACACTGTGCACAGGTGCTGTTTAATTCATTAGTATTCTTAGGGTATCAGATATAAGAGTTGATATATACTGTACTATGTGAGTGATACATATTTTTAAGTGTCTTTCTTAGCGGTATCCTTTTCTAACTAAGGCTTGTCTTATATGTTTGAGAAAATGTCATATGTGAGAGTCTTAAAGCTCTTGCAAAGTACTCCAGCTTTTATTTGCATTGTTCAACAATCTATGAGTAGGTGCTTATTAATTCATTAGTATATAAGCTATCAGATATAAGAATAGAAGTGTGATGCACATACTAGCTACATATGGAAGGGTTTTTAAACAGTATCTTTTGCTTACTTAGCCTTGTTTCATAAAAAAAGGTAGTATGTTAAGGGACCCAGAGCTAATTTCTTATGTACTCCAGCCTTATTTAACTAAAATACAGTATGATGTCAAGGAGACTGCTTGTTTGCAGTAGTTTATTGACAAGCTTTGTTGAATGCATGGATATCCCAGCAGAATTGCTATAATTGCATTGTTCAACTATCTGCTAGTACACTGTGCACAGGTGCTGTTTAATTCATTAGTATTTTTAGGGTATCAGATATATAAGTTGATATATACTGTACTATGTGAGTGATACATATTTTTAAGTGTCTTTCTTAGCGGTATTCTTTGTTAACTAAGGCTTGTCTTATATGTTTGAGAAAATGTCATATGTGAGAGTCTTAAAGCTCTTGCAAAGTACTCCAGGTATTATTTGCATTGTTCAACAATCTATGAGTAGGTGCTTATTAATTCATTAGTATATAAGCTATCAGATATAAGAATAGAAGTTTGATGCACATACTAGCTACATATGGAAGGGTTTTTAAACAGTATCTTTTGCTTACTTAGCCTTGTTTCATAAAAAAAGGTAGTATGTTAAGGGACCCAGAGCTAATTTCTTATGTACTCCAGCCTTATTTAAGTAAAATACAGTATGATGTCAAGGAGACTGCTTGTTTGCAGTAGTTTATTGACAAGCTTTGTTGAATGCATGGATATCCCAGCAGAATTGCTATAATTGCATTGTTCAACTATCTGCTAGTACACTGTGCACAGGTGCTGTTTAATTCATTAGTATTCTTAGGGTATCAGATATAAGAGTTGATATATACTGTACTATGTGAGTGATACATATTTTTAAGTGTCTTTCTTAGCGGTATCCTTTGTTAACTAAGGCTTGTCTTATATGTTTGAGAAAATGTCATATGTGAGAGTCTTAAAGCTCTTGCAAAGTACTCCAGTTTATTTGCATTGTTCAACAATCTATGAGTAGGTGCTTATTAATTCATTAGTAATAAGCTATCAGATATAAGAATAGAAGTTTGATGCACATACTAGCACATATGGAAGGGTTTTTAAACAGTATCTTTTGCTTACTTAGCCTTGTTTCATAAAAAAGGTAGTATGTTAAGGGACCCAGAGCTAATTTCTCATGTACTCCAGCCTTATTTAAGTAAAATACAGTATGATGTCAAGGAGACTGCTTGTTTGCAGTAGTTTATTGACAAGCTTTGTTGAATGCATGGATATCCCAGCAGAATTGCTATAATTGCATTGTTCAACTATCTGCTAGTACACTGTGCACAGGTGCTGTTTAATTCATTAGTATTCTTAGGGTATCAGATATAAGAGTTGATATATACTGTACTATGTGAGTGATACATATTTTTAAGTGTCTTTCTTAGCGGTATCCTTTGTTAACTAAGGCTTGTCTTATATGTTTGAGAAAATGTCATATGTGAGAGTCTTAAAGCTCTTGCAAAGTACTCCAGTTTATTTGCATTGTT